GCTGTAAATCAACTATACTTCAATTTTTTAAAAAACAAACAAACAAAAAAGCAATTGTAGTTATTCCTATGTGGCTCCATTCAGCTGGGTGCAGATTTCTGAATCCCTCAAATATGAAATTCATGTTGTACTCAAATTATTCCCTAATATATCAATAGAATTGGAACCAATCCACACTGTTAATACCAATATGACCGCAGAACTGACTGTATTTTCTCCTTCTGCCAGAAGGGATGCTCCCTTGTTCTCTGGGGCAAGGATCCTCAAAGCACCTGAGGGCTTATTCCCTCATTCAATGAATATTCACACATCAGCCCCTCTGCTAGGCTCTGAGGATGCTCTTTAAGAGGGAGAGAGAAGGAAACATATCCTCAGGGCATTTTAGTGCAGGGTGACCAGCTCCTGCTGTAAGAGTCTCTACTGTATGTTAAATACAAAGGATGGAACAGATAACTACCAGGATGAATCAAGGAGAGCTTCACAGAAGAGGTGACATTTAGCCCTTTTAAATGATGGGACATGGAGAAGAAGGGAAGAGCTCTCCAGGCACAGGGAACAGCATAAGCAAAGGCACAGAGGCAGGAGATGGCAGGGTCTGGCTGAGGAGTGGCAGGGCTCTGACATGGCTGTATGGGATGTGGTGACAGATGATACCAATAAGGCAGACTGGAGTCACAACAGCCCAATTCTGCCATTGAGGTGTTGGGGCTTTTCCAGAAGGCAGTGAGGAGCAGCGTTAGGTTTCCAAAGAGTGCCGTGGCATGGTGCAATTTTGTTCTAGAAAGAAATCCCAGCCTGCAGTAGTGTGAAGAGTGCCCTGGATTGGGTGCTGGTACAGGAAGGCAGCGTATGGAGAGGCCGGCTTCTGGAACCGTAAGCTTCCTTCATGTTTTGTCACTTCTGACCAGTCATGTTGGATAGAAACCAAATGATTTGTCTCTGTCCCACATGCTGTCAGGAGTTCGGAAATGGCATCATCACCCACGGTGCTGAGGCCTGGGAACAGGTGAGAGTAGACATCTCCTCTCCAAGGCCTCAGGGCTGTCTCTAGATTCCAGCTAAGATGCCTTTGCTGCTGGACTGTATACTTGCTGTGGTTCTTTGCTGCTGGACTGTATACTTGCTGTGGTTCTTAGGGCTGCTGATAGGATGTGGCCAATGAGTGACTTGAGCCAGGAAGTGAGTGGGAAGTACATGACCACCTTCTGGCTTTGTCATTTCTCCTGCGGGACCTCTGTGGCTATTAGCCTGGCATCTTCGGTCAGTCACTATTAAACCAGAGCCCTTGTCGTATGTTCATTTTCAGAGCCTGCAATGGTGAAGGGAGAAGGGAAGATGCCATTCCACTTCTTACAGGCTCCCTGCCACAATGCCTGGCACAGGATAGGTGCTCAATGAAGTTTTGTGAACTCAGCCTTCCTAAAAATGTCTTTTAAACAAAGACAATCCCCAAATAGGAGGAACAGATGTGTCTCGAGTAACTGTTGTGTGCCAAGCGTGGCCTGGGTAATTTCACGCCCATAACTCATCCACTGACCAAAGGGATGGAAATCATTAACAATAAAGAAACTGAAGCTCAGGGAGGTTAAGTAATTCCCCCAAGGTCACACAGCTATTATGTGGTAGAGCCAGGATTTAAACCCATGTCACCTGGCACCAGAGCTTATTCTACTTTGGTTCTCCTTTCAAGCGCTCTTCTGAGTTTGTGAAATACACAAGGACCTGGCCTCTCCTTCCTCTAACGAGAACACCGATTTCTGGTCTCGTAGGCAGAGATCTTGTGATACACCCTCCACCTCCGCACCCCCTTTTAAGGCGGCTGGCTGATTACAGCCACCCTCTCAGGAGCCTGAGTGATTGCCAAATTCCTGGTGAGAGGAGTGTCAGTGGGAAAAGCTACAGGTGCACCTGGAGCGGATGAGCAGCCTCGTGCCCAGCTCTCACCGCACTCTGTTGAGAGTAGTGTGGTGATGATAGCCCCCTCCCCACAGTAAGCACTCCTCTGGCTGAGAGATGAGGGAGCTAGAGCTCACCCAATACACTGATGGCAGAACTGAGTTCAAAACAGGGCTCCCTTAATCCCCAGCCAGACGCTATCTCTCAACCAGAGGTCCTTAAAGGGAGGTGCAGAGGTCTAGGCCCATCTGTCTTTGAGGAGAGCAGCTCCATCATTATATTTCTCATATAATGAAGTTCCGCTGGGGGAGCGGAGAAAACAAGGTTTACAAAGCACAGCAGCCTTGGGCTATGCTGCCGGGATTCTAACAAATGGCTCTTGCCTCCCTCCTGCCAGGCTCCCTTGTGAAGAAGGCTTTTGTTTCCTGCGGATATCTTTGGTTAATTATTTTTAAATAAATAATTATGTAGCCTGGGATAGGGGAGAAGTCTCCCCACGACCCATATTCGATCACCAGAGGACTGGCCCTCTTCCTTCAGCCAAATTAAATAGGCGAAAACGAGCGTCTGTTTGACTTGAGACTGAATCAATGATGGGGACAAGCTGGGAGGTGAAAACACACCTGACTCCCAGCGTTATCACTGCTCTCTCAGGAGCAGAGCATCTTGGGGAGGTAAATAGCTGGTCAGGGAGTCAGAGGAAGCCAGAGAAAAACAGGGTGAAGTCCAGTTTCTCCAAAAGGAAAGAACAAGAGGGCCAGGGGCCAGGCCTCCCTCCCAAGTTGCTTCCAGGACAAAGCATCAGTGGTTGCAGCAGAGTTGGATTCTTTGGAAATGATTCTCCGTGGAAAGGTAATTCCATTCAGTAGTTAGAACCTACTGTTCATTGTCCAGAATTCTAGAGTCTTAGGGCAAACATCTTGGGCTCCATCCCTACACCAGCTCCCTTCCTGCAGCATCGCTAGCCGTGTTTGCCGTTTATCTGGCATTCTGCTGAGAGCTTTATAGATGTCATCTCTAATCCAAAGTAGCCCTATTAAGGAAGCGTCCTCTTCACTTTATGAGAGGAAACAGCCACAGAGGGAGAGAGTGATTTTTCCCAAGATCACGCATCTGTTAAGAGCAAAGTCAGGATTGGAACCCGAGTTTGTCCAGCTCCAGAGCACACAATCTTCCCGTTAGCCCCCCTTGTTAGAAAATCCTTCGTTTAATTGATCTGAAATCTGTCTCCCCCTTTTCTACTGGACCCAGCTGCCTTCTGAGCTCACAAGTTCCAGATCTCTCTTCTCCTAAATAAGTATCTTGCTGGGAACCCGGTGGCAAATATGAGTGGAGAAAAAGGACCTAATTTAACCCAACGGGATGGAGTAGAGGGTGGTAAAGAGGAGACCTAGGGGCTACAGGTAGGTGCAGAGGAAGTCAGACAGGACTGGGCAGGCAGCGTGGGCTTGGAGACGTGGAAGTCTTTCTTCCTCTTAGCTTCATGGTTCCTGTTCACCACCACCACCAAAATAGAGTGCTCCAGACCTATCACTACCAAACTCCAGTGCCGGCCGTCTGCCAACACCCCCACCCCCAGCAGCCCCTTGAATCAAAAGATGGGGAAACAACCAATAGAAGAAGCCCACAGAGCATGCATCAAGCCACTTCGTAGTCAAACAAGTTGCTCCTGAAGGTTAGAACCCTGCCCTAGCGTTTGTTTGTTTTCTCCCCAGCCCTCTTAAGCTCTAGGTCACATCAGCCTTGGGGAACGTCCTTTGCACAATTCAAGGAAAACCAGCTTGTATCTCCTCTTGGCAAGCTTTGTCTTCGTGAATAAGAGGCTGCTGGTTAGGGCAGCTTGCCTGGCTCCCAGGGGTGCGGAGGGGGACTTCTGCAGGCTCCTCGAGCAGGTGGGGCTCCAGGTGGGGCAGGAGGCAGGGCAGGGGGCAAGCGGACCGACAGAACTCGGATACTTGATACAGTGATGTTTGATCCTGGGGAACTGGGCAAAAGGGAAAACGAAGGAGAAGTTGGTCCTCCTCTCCAAATAATTCCATGCCTAAGGCATTTGGTCTCCATCCCTTGCAGGTAGGAACAGGGTCCCCCGAACCTTTCTGTCCAATCCAAAGCATAAACCAGAACACTGTCTTTCTCAGCTTTGAGCTGAGGGTGAGATGCCTCAGCTACCCCTGGCTTCGTCTTTGGCTGTTTCACAGGCACATCAAGCAGGACTTGGACTCTGCACACTGGGCCCAGGTTCTCTTCCCCCTTCAGCTCCCTTCACCCGCCTGGTCTCTGCCCAGCACTGTCCCTTTCCTGAGCACAGACCTGCGCTTTGGTTCCCGAGCGAGAGGGAGGGTCAGAGCAGTGACATTGCACACATGCTTGGTTCTCCCCTCCCTTGCAGACCAAACTGCAGTGGTTTACTAGGCATCCGCCTCCTGCCTGTGCTTGCTGCCTGCCCCACCTCCTAGCAGACACGCCTTCCCCTGGGCCCTGGAAGTCAGCCAAATGGGACCCCACCAAAGGAATGTGAGTTCCAGAACCGAAGACTCCTAGCTTCAGCCCCATCCTGACCCTGCTCCGCCTGTGTCCCCCTGGCCTCTTGGGCTTGGCCAAAATGGTGGTGCACAGAGTCTGGTGCATTTTGTTGTGGCCCTTATAAGGGTTGCTGGGCCAGTCCCTCTCCGTAAAATCCATCAACTCATGCTTTGAAGCCCTGCTTGGCCAAGCGATGCCAGGGAAACATTTCTAGAAGGCATTTTGAAGAACAAAAGAAATACGCCAGCCAGAAAGAGAAGCCCCTAAATCCTAAACGAACTATGCTGAAGCAACAAGAATCAGAATCCATTCATTTGTTCATTCGTTCGTTCATTCATTTGACAGATACTTATTGAGTGGCTACCGAGGGAATACAGCCATGAACAAAACAAAACAGATAAAAACATCCTGCCCTCATGGAGATTACATTCTAGAATTCAAGCAGAGGCCATGCAACCTCTACCCTAGAGAAAGACAGCGGATGGAAGGCAGCTTTTCTTCCTTGTCATCCACCCTAGAAAGCAAGTGTTCTCGGGTCAGGTGGCACTAATCTTCGCTGTTGGGTCTGCCTTGTTTTGCAGGAGTGCGCTACAGCCAGCAGGGAAACAATGAGGTCACTTCCTCCTCAACAATCAGTCACCATGGCAACAGCGCCATGGTGACTAGCCAGTCTGTTTTACAGCAAGTCTCTCCAGCCAGCCTGGACCCGGGCCACAATCTCCTCTCACCTGATGGTAAAATGGTGAGTACACCTGGGCCATTGTAGCTCTGGAGCTGATAAGATAAGAGGCAAAACAAACACAACTTCTCACAAGGCCTGCCTCAAACAATGAACCATTGTAGCCCCACAGGGGAAAATGGGGGCCGTCCAGAGTTGGAACGGAAAGGTAGAACCGGTGACCCAGCCTTTGGCGGGTGGAAGAGGTGTTCGGTTTGAACCCAGCCAATAAATCTGACAGAGCCCTGCTCTCGTTTTATTGATTGAATGCCTCATAAAGGAGCAAAGCGGGTGGGACACTGTTTGTTTTGGGGCTGCCGGTGACATTTGAGTTGATAAAATGCTCATTCATCCCCCCCAACCCAGGGCCTCCAAAGCCAGTTTTTTAACCCAGAGAGCACCTCACTTTGAAACAAGCCCCCTCTTCCTCTTCACACCCTCCTGGTCCTGGCAAGGAGGGTAGTTAAGTCAGGATTGAGTGGATGGCGGGAGGTGGGGAAGCTTCTGGCACGGGGGTTTTGAAGGACACTGGACGGCAGTGAAGATCACAGCACAAAATGGCAGGTGGGGTGGGGCGGTGCTTACAGGGTGAGTGGGAAACACCAACTTTGAAGTTACAGTGACCCGGGTTCAAATCCCAGCTCGGCATTTAATAGCTGTGTAGCCTTGGGCAGGTTCTAGCTCTTTCTTTCTCATCTATAAAAAGTAATAACACTAGGGTTGTTGGCAGAACAAAGGTGATAACACGAGAGGCACGGTGTTGGGGACGGTAAATATTCCATGAACGACAATGCGATTGTTGTTAGGTGAATGTCAGTATTATTCTCCCTAAATGAAGTTGTCTATACCCATAACCACAGCCCAGCCCCAGATGTCAGTTGAGCAGCCCCGCCCAGTGAGGAATAGACTAGTTGATGTTGAATTTTCGACGTTCTAATCCTCAAGCAACACAAGCGCAGCAGGGGAGGGCGGCTTCCAAGAGAACGCAGCATGACGACACTAGGAAGGGTAGAACGTGGAAAACTTGATTCTTTGGGTCATGCTCTGTGTTTCACAGGAGGGAGGAGCCGTGGGTTCCTGGCTTCCAAGCTCAAGGTGGAGCCGTATGCCTTCCTTCAAGGTGTCTGACCTAGAGGCGGGGGTGGGGGGGGTGGCGGGGGTGGGGGGTGGCGGGCAGGGAGCCGATGCCATTCTAGACCTTGACGTGTGTGCCGTGTAGGCAACACAGGAATGGTGAGTCACAGGTGACTGAGTCCCCAGCTCCCTGGAGGAAAAAACAAAGTGTAATATCCGAGGGGAGCGCCAGGCCTGGCCAACTCTAGTTTGGGGACTTGAGCTGATCAATCCCTGGTAGTGGTCTCTGCAAAAGGAAACGAAAGATGCTCCTAGGGGAGCCCTTTTGCAGCCCCCTTGCCCACCTCTCATCCCTTAAGCTTCTTCTTTGGCTGCCTTGTGAGACCCAAATAAGTTAAAGGATTGCCCAGACTTCCCTGGAGGAGGGGGGCGGGGCTTGCGGGAGAGATCTTGACTTCCCAGCGGAGGAAACAGGTCTCCTCTCCTATTGCTTGAAGGTCCTTGGGGTTTCCCTGTGAGCCCTCCTGCCCTTCCTCCTAACAAGCAAACTGCCTCACCCAGGCCGGGGCGCTCCAAAGGCAGCCGCAGGAGACGCTTTTTTCTTCCTCTTCTGCTCGGCAGCGCCCTAATGAGCAGTATGTTATTGGATTGATGATTGACCAAGACAGCACACCTCAACGTTAGCAAACACCTGGAAGCTTGTTTGCAGGGACCAGCTTTTCTCTAGTTTCCAACACCCTGGCTCATATGTTATGTCACTATCACTGGATGCCCAAATTCAAGAGTCTGTTTTCGGTTAATATATAACAAGCCCATCACAGATCCTGGTCCACCAAAGACAGGAGTGGAGTATGGTTTAAAATAACGCAGCAAGGGAACGAGTGTGTCCACGTCGTGGGTTCTGTTGTTTATCAGCCATAGGATGGACGTTGCTTAACTTCAGTTTCCTCATCTGGAAAATGGGGGATAACAATGCCTGCATCACCAGGGTGGTGTAAGGCTTGCCTGTAACTCTGCCGTTTTGGGGATAAGACCCATCCAGGGAATGACAGTCTTCGTGTGCTGACCTGTGGTAGGATGTGCATTTGAAATCTTCCCACAGGGATTGGTTTTGGAAATAATGGTGATCCCTTTGAGCTTTCTTTTATTCTATTTGGCCCCCACCCCATGCCCAAATGGCATGCGTCCACAAAGAGCTGGCCAGGTTTCAGACTGCAGTCTGTGTCTGTTGAACCTTGTGTTTTAGAAAAGCACATGCTGGATACTTCCACAGTATCAAAGCAGTAGAGCTTAATAGTGAAAAGCTCAGGCCTGGAGGCAGATCGCCTGCTCTTCATGGCCACTGTACCACTTGGGCACATTTCTTAACTTCTCCAAACTTCCGTCGTCTTGTCTGCAAAGGAGAGTTAATAGTACCAACCTTGTAGATGGTAGGTGTGTGAATCACAAAGCAAAGGACTGCAAAAGGCAGCGCTGATACCACTCAAACTCTCTGGATTATCCTGTGAGGATCATGACAGATATTCTTGGCAGCTCCCTGGCTTCCATCAGTCCTGAAGGCAAATAGAAGATGATGGTTGCGTTTTAGAGTGGGAAGGAGCTTGACCAAGGTGCCCCCCAAAATAGTAAGTGGATGGGACTTAAAGCCCAGCAGCACTGGGTTTGAATCCTGGCTTCCTCGCTTACGAGTCAGGTGACACAGAGCTGCTCTCTCAACTCTTCTGAGGCTCTCTTTCTCTTTTTTAAAAAATTTTTATGGAAATATAGTTGATTTACAATGTTGTGTTAGTTTCAGATGTACAGCAAAGTGATTCAGTTATACATATATAAATATATATTTTTTCACATTCTCTTCCATTGAGAGAGGCTCAGTTTCTTAATCTGTACCATGGAGCAATAATCATAACGCCTTCCCTATGTGTGCCATTAACTATTGAGAACAATCAGTGAAAGCACTTTACAAGCGCGAAAACCATACACATTTAAATTGTTTTTATCATTAGCACCCACGTTTCTCCTTCACCGTTAAAACCAGACATTGAAATGGCAGAGATTACTGTCACTCCATTGACTTTCTCCAAAGGACTGCATTACTCAGGGCAAGTCTGAAGGCAGGTCACTGACTTTTTTTTTTTTTTTTAATGACTCTGACATTTTGAAAAACAAGTCCAGCAAACAAGCTGGTTCTCTCTTGTTTGATGTGGTCAGAATTCCTTCTTGGTCATGTGACCCCTAACTCATGTCTTGATGCTCGTTTTAAAAACACAAACAAACCTGTTTGGGTTTTTCTTTCTTTCTTTTTCAAATTCACCTTGGAAGCTATGGGGTTGATCAGAAGGGCAGGCAAGAGAGAGTGTCTTCCCCCCTGGGTGCTGGTGTGAGACCTATAGTCTAAGGAGCTCTGGGTCACAAGGGAAGGAAGAAGGAGAGGGCGACTCAAACATCTGATGTATGTATCCCAACCCTAACCCACCTGTCAGCATTCCTGATGCCATCAAGAATGTCTGAGTTATTTCAGAGTGAGGGGGGACAGTCCTTTCTTAGTAATACTTCTAAAAATTATTTTAAAACTATAAATAGTAAGCTACTTTATCATGAATAAAAGTTTGTTGTGTGTATGTGTGTGTAAAACTGAAAACTTCTTATAATTAATGGGGAAACATTGGAAGCATTTCTGATAATACAGAATCAAAGTAAGTACATCTATTACCTCTGTTACTGGTTAATACTACTGGGAAAATTCTAACCAATGCAATATGACATGTAGACGTATTAGCACTAGCAAGGAAGAGACCCAATTAGCATTATAGGCCTGTGATGCCGTTATATATACACTTGGGAAAATGAAGAAAATCGATAAGGAAAAGACACTATTAGGAATAAATAGGACTCAGAGTGGCCTTGGACAAAAATACACAAAACTCAGTAGGTTTCTCTTACTAATCTGTCATTAACATATAATGGTGAAACGGAGTCAAGCCTCATTTAGTAGCTTTGTCATTACAATAGTAGCTTCCTGCCCAAAAAAAAAAAAATTTTTTTTAAATGTATAGTAGAGATTTGGGAAAAGTAGAGAAGCCCAATCATGGCTGATCTCCCCCAGAAAAACCTTAGTAATAATTATCGGGTAAAAGTCCTCCGTAAAAAGTAAGAACTTGAATATTAGAGTCAGACAGACTTGGGTTTGAACACAAGAGTTACCATTTACTAGTTGTCGGATCTCAGGCGATATGCACAACTACTCTGGGCCTCAGTTTTGTTATCCGTGAAATGGAAATGGCAGAAGTATCTGCCTCGTGGCTCTAGTGAGGTTTGTGAGTTAATGCATGAGCAGTGCTTCCTAGAACCTGTACTCAGTGAAAGCTTCCCTGTGCTCCTGCCTGGGCCCTAATCTGCTACGCTAGGGAATCCCAGGGCATTTCTTCAGCTACTATTTTTAGCAATCACATGTCTTTAGCACCAATACTATAGAGGGCATAGAGCAGAACAGAAGATACTTTCAACATGAGCCAGAGACAATCACATAATACACATGGGCTGAGGAATCTCTAAGGCAAGCTAGTAATTCAAAGGTAGTCAACAAGCAGGCACATGAGGGAAGGGATTATGGTCAATATTACTTACCACTCCATCCTCTGTACCTAGAACGGTGCCTATCCCTCACTTGGTGCTTAATAATTGTTCCTGAATGGATGAATGAATGAATGAACCAGTGAATTAGCCATGCCAAGGAATTGCTGAGCCACGTCCTTTTGGACACTGCTCTTTGCAACCCTGATTCTACTCATGCTGCTCTTGTTTTTTTCTCTCCAGCAGATCTCAGTCTCAGGAGGAGGTTTGCCCCCGGTCAGCACCTTGACGAATATCCACAGCCTGTCCCACCACAATCCCCAGCAATCTCAAAACCTCATCATGACCCCCCTCTCTGGAGTCATGGCCATTGCACAAAGTAAGCTCTGTTCTTGGTCAGAAAACTTGGGGGCAGGGAGAAGCAGCATGGGAAATGAGTCAACCTGATTTTAAAAAAACAAAAACAGAAGAACTAAAGAAGATCCCCTTAAAACTCACCTGACACTTGTAGGATTGATTCAACTCGTTTCGTTCCTTATTTCTCTCCTCAACAAGATTTGGATTGTTTAGCCTAAAATAAGAGAAAATTATGGAACGGAGTTGAATCCTGGTCACAGCTCACCAGCTGTGCATTGTGGGTCAAATCATTGAAGCTTTATGAGGGTCAGTCTCCTCATCTGTAAAATGGGTTGGCAATCCAATGACCGTGTGTGTAGACATGCCTGTAAATCGATAAAGCATGAGTATGTATAATATTGTAGCTTATACTTTTGTCTGGTATTCATTCCTATCCCTAAGTATGTGGTGGGTTTTCTAGGAGGTTGGGTTGTGTTGATGTTTCTTTGTGTTGGCCAAGATGGAGCAAGACATGAGGGGCTTCCTTCTTAAAGGGGAATTTTGTGTGGTCGAACGAGACCTCCTTGGCCCACGGTGAAAACATACTGAGAAGGGACTCTGCAGGAAAGTGTCACAGCATCTCTGAGCCTTGACAGATTTAAGGAGAAATAGGTTGTGTATGCCCAGGACTGAAGACAGGGAGAGGGGTCATGTCCTTCCAGCCCCAGCAGCTTGCATCCCACAGAGAGTCCATCCCCATCCATCACAGATGGGCCATTTCAGGGCACAGGAAGGCTGACACGGCTGTGCCAGTGGATGTCTCTCTCAGAGTAATAACGTTGATGTGTATTCAGCATATTTCAGCCTTACGGTAACAGCTCAGGCCAAGTCTTCCTTGTGACCCAGGGAAGCATCCCTGAGAAGTCTCGGGAAAGATCTAAGGGCAGTACATTGCTTATCTTTCTTTCACCCTGGGGATCGCCTCTCTTCCTAAACCATCTCTAGTCAGGGTAGCAACTCAGATCACTTCTGAAGAGAAGGACTTGTGCTCTCCTTGAGGGCAAAACAGGGCTAGGCCCCTAGGAGACACAGGAGTTTACTGAATAAATCAGTGTGGCTCTCTCTGTCCTCAGCAGCTGGGAGATTGATGCCCTCCCCATTGAGTTCTGTAAAGCGAAGTGGGAAAGGAGAAGCCTTTAGAGAACTCACAAAATCAAGTATTTAAAATTTGCTGCCTTTTCACGGGGCCCTCTCCAGCAATATGGTAACCACGCTAACACCAGGGTTTGAGAATGAGATAGGATAACTGAAACCAACTTGCTTACCTTCTAGATGATTTGAAAAGGCCTACGGATAAGATATCCCACCTATATTTTTACAACCAAAATGATACACAAACTGTCCCACTTACCTTCTCTCTTCACACGTCCAGCTTTGGCTGACACACACAGTTATATATTTTCTTAGGCACTATCGGAATTAAAATTTTCCCTGGAGCTATTACATATTTTTCTGTTTTGTTCCTCCTAATTTTTCTCACCCATCCTTCTCTACCTTCTTACAATAATCTTAATCTCCTACTGCAGACAGCCAACACCAGAGTACGTTGACCTTAGAAGGGTGAGAGTGTGTGTGTGTGTGTACTTGAAGCACGATGAGGGTCACCAGAAAACATGGCTGAGATGCAGTGGTCCTACCCCGTGGAGTGTCAGGATGAAGAATCAGTTACGAGTCCAAACTTGTACTGCTCTCCACACGACAGGCCAATAAGCCGAGAGATGAGTTTTGGGGCAAGGAATAGCCAACTCCTGTCCTGTTGAGTATGTGAGCCCTGCCTGGCGACTGCAGAGGCCCAAGGAGAATGTGATAACAGATTACCCAGCAGTGCCAATTCCTCATTCTCTACTCACCTACTGGACTGGATAACATGCTTCTTAAGCAGGAATCAGTGCCCAGAAAACAGATGGAAAGGCCAAGAGTCACACTTCGCAGGAGCTCGAATGACATCAGTGGCTCTCCATCCTGGAATTGAGGCATATCAGGGTCACAGACTGTGTTGAAAATAAAATTCCTGGGCCTCACCTCTAAAGTGTCTGACTCATTAAGTCATGGGTGAGGCCGAGGAATGTATATTTCTTAAAGTGCTCCCCAGGATGATTCTAAAACACAGGCAGGTTGCAGAAGTATGCCCTCCACTGTCATCCACTCTAGACAGCATAATTTGCTTTTCTGGGCAGAGATTTCCCAAAAACAGCAGTGGCAATGGGCTCGGGGAGACAACAGCAAATCCATGGGGCTTCCTCGGGTACTGAGACCTTACGTAGAAGGTAGGAAAGGGAAACAGGAGATCGTGGTATCGGGTGAGACACTGCCTAGAGGAGAAGCCGAACCCCTGGGGAATTGGAGATAGCACTATTCTGATCGCTCAGAGGACCCCACCTCCCCAGTCCCAGCCAGGAGAGCCAGGAGGGGGCTTATTCGTCTTCCCTTCTGCTCATGGGCCTCACCTTTTAGGTTTCTGATAACAGTATCAGCTGGGTTCTGAGCAGGCCATCGTTGAGGTCTTTGTGCTATCTCCACGGAGGACTGCCTCCTCCTGTGAACCTGCTTATGGAACCCTCTCTGTCTCAGGAAAGGCTCTCTAGGTGTCTTTTCCACGTTTGCCTAAAAGAGACCTTTCTCTGGGATTCCTTCTTCATCGCATTCTTCCCCCCACTTCCCAGAAAGCAAGGTCAAAGGAACCTTGGCAGTTCCAGGAAAGAGGTCGGGGTGTCTTTCCCCTGATCCTCACATCCCCACTCCCACCCTGCCTCAGGTGCCTTCCCCAGAGTCCCGCCCAGGGAGACGATGGAGGGTGGGTACCAGGGACCTGATCTTTGCAGTGCTGGCCCCAGTTCTAAAGAGACCTTAGGATACAGACACAGTACAGAACCACGGAGGCCCTCATTCTTCCAGAACAGAAAGCAACACCTACTGGAACTGCCAACCTTCAACTTACTACTTACTCCTTCCAATACCTGGTCCTTTTGAGGCCAGCAGCCCTGTGCTGCCAGATAAGATATACCCTTTTCATAGACTGATTGAGTTGCAGTGTTTTATCCCCTCTCTGTTCCAGGCAAGAGAATGAGCATCTGACCTCTTTCGGGTTTTGCACAGCCCGCTAAATGAGGGGCTTCAGGCTCCATACCTCCAGGACTGTGGAGGGGGGTTTGCTTTTTATCCAAATGTGGGTCCCTGAACACTCCTGCCCCCTGCTGATATATCTGGGCAGTAATCTGCACCTTGGTGTGGATGCCTTTAACCCTGCTCCCTCAGAGCCAGGCATGGATGGAGCAGGCAAGCACAGGGCCCTGCAACCTCAAGGGAGCTAAGTTTGGGAGGTCACAGGACAACTTTGGGAGACTCTCAGGTCTCCTTCAGATCTGTTGAAAGCCCATTTGCATCCACAACTCGCTGTGGAATTTGAGCAAGTCAACTTAATCTCTCTAAGCCTCAGTTTTTTGGTCTATAAGATGGGTCTATAAAATTGCTTTCTGTGCAGTCTCTTACGTAACAGGCTCAGCCCAGTGCCTGGCAAATAGCAGGGCCTCCGTTGATGACCATTCACATCTGTTCACCTGTCCTCCTCCCTGAAGCCATCTCTAATCTTCCCTCTTGTTCACACAGGCCTCAACTCCTCCCAAGCTCAGAGCGTCCCTGTCATCAACAGCGTGGCCGGCAGCCTGGCAGCCCTGCAGCCCGTCCAGTTCTCCCAGCAGCTGCACAGCTCTCACCAGCAGCCCCTCATGCAGCAGAGCCCGGGCAGCCACATGGCCCAGCAGCCCTTCATGGCCGCTGTGACGCAGCTGCAGAACTCACACAGTAAGGACACGGGCAAGTCGGGGAGGGAGCCCAAAGGGACCTCAGCAGCCGAGCTCTTCCCCCTATGGGTCTGAAGCTTCTTGGAAGCTTATTGGTCTGGTCACTTTTCCCTACCTGTGATCAACAAAGCCAATATCTCAAGCATAACTCTTATGCAGTGCTGTGCCTTTTCTGGTCCTCTTCTCTACCCCCAGGATTCCTGGGGGAAAATTTGATGAAGACAATTAAGACCTATATGGAAAGGGGAGCTGGAGATAGAGAGTAAGGGTAGCTTAGATGTGGAGCGAACTCATGCCCCCTTTCCCACCCTGGCCCCCGTGGAAGAGACCCCCAGTCAAGCGCAGCCCCTTTTCCCAACGAGCCTCAACTTAGCCTTTTCCGTTCAAAGTTCCAGGCAGCTGTTACCAAATGATCAGACTTGGCATATAATTTGCCTCCTATTTGCCTTCTCTGAAACTGAAGAATCTTCCAGAGTCCCCACACCCTCCAATTTCCACACCCCAGACATCTCCAATCAAGAACCATGAACATGGGCAGAAAATACCGCCTACACATCATCCTGCACAAGGAATATTAGAGTTTCTGCCCACCACACAGAGGCTGCTTCCCACCTCCAATTTCTACACCTACCCCAAGTCTACCTTTCAACCATTTAGTTCCCACCCACCCCCATCCCCCGTGTCTCTCCCCCTACCCCCTCCTGAGCCCCAGACCCCCAGTCCTCTGGCCACGTCAGGCTGTAGTCCCTGGCCTCTGAGTTTGGGGAGAAATCATGGAAAGGATGGCTTCCCTGCTTCAAGCACAGTTACCACAGGGACACCAGGGACGTCTGTGGAATAGAGTGATAGCCTTAGGGTCAGACAGACCTAGCTGTCTGATTAAATCCTGGCTCTGAGCCTTACCAGCTAGGGAGCCATTGTTAAGTTCCCTAGCTACTCTCAGCTTCAGTTTCATCCTCGTAAAATGGAAATAGTGTGCATGTAGAGTGATTAGGGAAATGAAACAAAAATAGGTATGAACTGAGTTTGGTAAGTGTTAAGAGTTGTAAAAATGCAAGTGATTATTTATCAAGGGACTCCTTAATAGAAGGAGGCAGGGATGGGAAAGAGGATTTCAGTTTCTCCTCCGGCTGCCTCAGGCAGAGCTGTGGGTCTGAGGGAGACCAGCCAAGTTCAGCCTTCTTCTACGCTCGGGGCTCTATTCCCAGGCCTGCGGAGCTGGTTTCTAAGTACCATCTCACATTCCAATCACATTTTCAAGGCTTTAAAAAAATCTACCACAGCCTGTAGCAGAGTCTGGGACCACAGGTGTACCACTGCCCTTCCGTCCAGGGCCAATATGCTCCCCACTTGCCCCCACCCCTCACCTGGACAGGATTCCTCAGTGGCGAGGCCCGGGTATGACAGTCGGAGAGTGGTCATCAGTGACCTGTGGACTGCCATGGCCCAGCTGGCCTGGCTGGCTCTGAAGAGATAGCTCACGGTTGCCCCAGGCCAGGAAATAACCAGCCTCCCTCCAAGGGAAGGGCAGGCTGAGGCGTCGGGCTGTGACCTTCACCCCCATTCCCAACTGGAGGACTCCTTGGTAGAACACGCTGGTCCCTCCCTCAAGGCCAGACATCCACATGCTTTCTGGGTTGGTCACGTGACCTGGAATTTCCATGACTCTTATGGACGAACTAGCGTGAGTGAAAGGTTCCAGACTTGGTGGACACAGGCTAGAAAAACAAAAAGTGAGCCACATGCTCCTGGAGGCTTTCTTGGTATCTAGTCTCATTTTGTCCATCAGCCTTCATCTCTGTGTGATGTCATAAGGCATTCTAGCGCAAACTGGAACAGCCCAGAATTATACAAGTAATGACATCCATGTCCATTTACAATTACTAATTAATCTACAGTTGCTAGCACAAGACCTGGCACTTGAGTCACGGCAGAAACAGTAGACAAACAGGCCAGCTCCTTCATTTTGCCAGCTATTTAGAACTTTTTTTTGCCCTAAGTTCTCAGATGTACCACATATGCCTAAGGATCACTTGTTGATGCCCAGGAGTCTGACACTCTGTTGAAAGTCAGGGGCAAAGAAGTGCTCCCACCCCAGAAGTGCCAGCCACCACTGCACACCAGGCACTGTGCAAAGCTGCTGATCTATTTGGTATGAAGTGCTTTAAACACAAGCTCTTCTAATCCTATATCATTCCCATTTTAGAGGTGAGGAACCTGAGGCTGAGTTGATTAAGGAGCCAGGATTTAAACGCATGGCCGTTCTTTCTATCACATCGCACTGCCTTGCCAGACATAACCACCACCACCACCTTCCTTTTATCTGCCTGGGGAAGCAGGAGCAGTGGTGTGGGCTGGAGGTGGCGGGGGTCTGTAGCTATGTTCACGCCTGTGTGATCTACACGTTGATTTTGTCTTCACTCTGTCTCTCTAGTGTATGCACACAAGCAGGAACCCCCCCAGTATTCCCACACCTCCCGGTTTCCATCGGCAATGGTGGTCACAGATACCAGCAGCATCAGTACGCTCACCAACATGTCTTCCAGTAAACAGGTAATGCCGGCAAGAAGATGTGGGGGGAGGGGAGGGATGACTATGGCTACTCATGTGCAGAGAGTGCGGCAAGTGTGGACTCAGCCACAAGCGTGATCCTTCTGAGGCTCCCCTGGTACTTGCTAAAGGAATCCCTGAGGTCACAGGGCAAAGAAGATGGGCCACAGCCTACAGGGGAGGGACTTATTGCTCCCCCCAGCATCCCTGACAAGAGCGCTAGAGTACTGAAGTTTTATCAGTTGCTAGAGACTGGATTACACAGAGCCTGTAGGCACTGAGATTGAGTATCTCCAATGGATTGATCAGTGAGCCACAGCAAAGGTATTTCCAAGGAGGGCTCAGAAAGTCAGACCCCCTGCGGAGTTCCCTGCTTTGCAAGAAGGATCCCTGAGGATTTCCCACCAATAGAGAAAGTGACCAGTGAGTCCTCAGGCTGATTCACCCAGTCCAGGACCCATGTTGGACCCCCAACGCTGTAAGCTCTAGAGAATGATGCAATTCTGCCAACCCATGGGGACTCCCCAGTAGACAGCCTGGCCTTGCCAGGGACCTGCATTTACTTGGTGTTTTACAGAGAAACTTAGAATCCACTTCCTGGTGCACTGAAAGTGGGGAATCCAGAGGCTTAGTCACCATGTCAGTTGATGACTAATGCCCACCTCCGCATAGAGGGGATGGGGAGTCAAGATGACCCACGCTGAGGCTGCAGCCTGGACAGCTGGACTGGAATGAGATGCCAAGAGTTAGAGAACAGGACAAGATGTCTGCACACAGGTCACAATTCCAGAGGAACACAATAGGACCTTTTAGTAGCTGGGGTCTGTGCAGTGTGGGAACTGTTTGGCCTTTATTGATTGCTAGATAAGTAGGTGGCAACCTTGAACTTCATGTCCGATGCTCTCGGCAGGGTTTCCTGCTGTTGACGGTCTTTTTTTCCCTCAAATCCCACCTCATCCAGCGCCGTGTGTTTCTGAGCAAGTTCTTTCACGGGCTCAGCCTTCTCTGTTCTTCCTCTGCCCCCATCTCCTCCTGGTCCGCCAGCGTCAGACAGGTGGGTTCAGTTCCTGGCTTTGCCACTTGCTTGGTGACCTTGACCTCGGTGAGCCTTCACTTTCTTCATCTCTAAAACAAGTCATAACATCTGCTTGTTCTGAGGATTTGATAATATCGTGTAGATTAAGCGCCTGGCACATCTTGGATGCTGAATACAACGTAGGCATCCAGGCTCTGGAATTGGGGGTGTTGGGGAGGGAGAGGTGTGTGGGACCTGCTTTGCTACCCTTCTCTCACCCATTGGAAGATGAAAGGACAGCCCCCATCGCCCTGCCCTTCGACTCCCATGTGATTTCCCACTCTTTGTAGCGAGCAGGGAAAACATTTATCTGTGCTCACAAATCTCAGTCAGGGGGGCAGCCAGGCGCAGCAGCCCTGCTTGGGAATACCTTCCCCTTTGAAAGGTTTATCAATCCATCTGCCGCTTGGTCAGCCCTAGATGGGGCTGTGATTAATGATTCCTGTCTTTCCCAAGTTGACTTTGATGCTTGCTTGTTGAAACAAGTCCTCTGAATTCAGGAAATGGTCTCTTAATCAAAATGCTTCGAGATGCTCTCTGAGACTCTGTACCGGCCCCCAGCCGGCTTCTCCCCTCCACCGGACAGAGTGGCCAGCCGACCTTGAAGCCGCCTGGACGGCCCTCTAGAACTACTGTGAAGTTGTTTCCGAGTCCCTGGACATTTCAGGAGTCTATGATGGACTCACTTCTAGGATGATGATAACATTTAGTAAGGATAAAACTTCATATAGCACTTTACAGTTTACACTGATACTTCTCATGAATATTATCTCACCATTTTCTGTTTTACCAAAACCTCCTAAGAAGTACAAAGAAATGAACTGAGGCTCAGAGATGCAGGGTCACCTGCCCAAAGTCACACAGATGATATTCGGGAGCCAAACTTCTGGACTTTGGTCTTTGATTCTAAATCCTGGACTCTTTCCACTTAAATAATACTTGTCTTCCAATACCCATCTTTAAAACACCCGTGGTAATCGCTGCTCTTGTGGTCTTTACCGGTCAGGAACATGAGTAAAAATTAAGCCCACATACTGTATTCCAGTCAGGAAACTTTCTTCCTGCAAACTACAGGAGAAGAGGAAATAGGAAAGACAGAATGAAGTAAAAAGAGGATAAAGATGCTGTCTCCTGGCAGCAGAAGGAACCCAAGGTGAAGAAAAGTTGTACAAACTCTGTTCCAAAGGCAAAGGGTCAGAAGTGAGTTCTGGAAGAGAATTGGTGGCAATTCTGCTTTTTTGTTGTTTTAAAGTAGTATTTTCCAAAAAGAGTTTCAAGGTTATTGCTAGGAATCAGGGGCCCATGGCATGAGGAGAAGATTCCATGGTCAAATTTGTTGGGGAAACAGCTGGGCTCAACAGAAATCCCACAGGGCAGGGCATCTCAGAATCTTTCCTGTGCTGATGTGGGCAGTGAATAGAGACCCATCCTGGGCAATGCTGCTTTAGAGACATCGTAGAATGCTAGGAAAAGCCAACAGGCCTGAGCCAATCCCAGCTCCTTCACCCCTGCTACACGACCTTGGGCAGTTAATTCATGGCTGTGAGACGAAGTTTCTTCATCTCTAAAGGGGAAAATCCCACCTCCCTCTTACAGTATATTCAAAGTGTCTGAAGACCATGCATAGTACAGAGTCACGTGCTCGAAGTGATAGCTTCCTCCCTGTTCCTACCCCCTTTCTGTCTGTGATCCTTTAGGAGACACCTTCCATTAGCTCCTTCAACATTTAACTCACTGCTTGGTCTGCATGTGATCAAAGGAGGTTCTGACAATAACATTTCTCAGGGTTAGGACCGTCTCTCAAGCGCATCCTGCCTCTCGGGCCCAGGCTCCAGATCCCTGCTTCCCATTCTCCTGCTGGCACAAGGATGCCCTCTCACCCATCTCCCAGGAGAAAAGCAAATAGTTCAGGGCCTCTCAAAGCACCCAAGCCCTTTGTGTGTAGCCAAATGCCTGGGCTTTAGTAGATGTTCACTAAATATGAATGAATGAATGAATGAATTCAGATCTAGCATTTTTTGACTGCCTCCCGTTTGCCACACAGCACTCCAGATGCTTGTCCATCTTAATTTCCTGGCTAATCCTCCCACCCATCCTGCGAGGTAGAAATTTGTATGCCTGATTTATAGAGCAAAAACCTGAACTTCAAAGATGGGGAAGAATCTGCCCACACTCACATGATGGTAAATCTGGAGTTGGAGTTCCAGACTTTGGTTCTTCTCACTCCACATCCATTAAACAACACTCACCTTCTAAGATCCATTTTTCTAACATTTAATTTTTTTTTTTTTTTTTTTTTTGCCTGTGCCATGCCACACGGCATGCGGGGATCTTCCCCGACCAGGGATCGAACCCGTGCCCCCTGTGTTGGGAGCATGGGGTCTTAACCACTGGACTGCTAGGGAAGTCCTAAGATCCATTTTTAAAGTACTCATAGAAATGACCCAAGGTTATGCCAGTATAAGGCTAAAGCCAGCGTTTGACCTTGAAGCTGTCTGATCCCAGTGTTTTCCATTGTCAAGACAGACATGCCCCAGGGCCTCACGGATCATGTTTCGGGAACCTCAGGCTGGAACTTTCTTGCTGGGAATCCTCCGTCCTTTCCAGAGCTTATGCCCCATCCCCCCCTTCTCAACCCTTGGGTGCTGGAGAGTTACCACCTAAGTGGGTCTCTGCCTGAGCCTCCTGCAAAACGACAGCCTGCCAGCCTGAAAACCAGACCACAGCCAGCACCAGCCTTGGCTAGAACGAGTGTGGGCGGGCTGTGAGCCCACTCCTACTTCCACAACTTCTCTACCCACCGCTCCACTTCCTAGTTTACGTAGAGAGAGGTCAGGAGAGGACCCCCGGAGCAGTCACCGTCAGGGGTGCTGACGAGAAGGAGGTGGGCAGCCTCATCGTCATAAATGCCCTGCAGCTGCCCCCCACCCTCCCAACCTTCCCCACTGGCAGTGTGGGCTGATGAAGAGCCAACGTGGGTGCGAGGCAGACCCGGGCTCAAGATTCTACCACTGTCTACCTGTGTGACCAAAGGGAAAAGTCTAGCGTCTCTGAACTTCACTTTCCTCACCTTTAATATGAAGATAACGATTCCTCCTTCATGGGATCATTGAAAGGACAAAACACAATAAAACTTGTAAAACACTCAGCTCAGCGCTTGGCTGGAAACACCCAGTCCGTGGCAGCTGGGTCGATCTTGGCTTTCCCTGATGGTAACCTTGAGTGTCTCTCGAGCTTAGGAAGGAGGATTTTAAATGGCAAAGGGCATTTATTTCTCCCTGGTGTCCCACTCAAGATAAAAGGCAGTAATCTTTCTTTTTTTTACATTTTACAATTCATTTAATGGCAACGGGTAATCATCACATTAGCAATGGTTATCTTCAAAAGTTATTACACTAGCTGTGCTACCATTTCTCAAGGTTGATCGGATACCTAGAGTCACAGACATTTCCCACATAAGATTCATCATATAAATCAGACTTGGTTTATCACCAGCATTTATAAAACCAGACCTAGGAAAAGAACTAAGTCTGGGGACACATGCATGGTCTTAATATAGCGAATGTTTAGCCTGCCCTGATTATTACAAAATCAGAACAGCGAGAATATTCGCAGAAAAGGCAGTAATCTTACGTAGTGGGTAAGAGCACAGAATTTTCTGTTCTGAGACCCTGGGCACGTCACTTAAAATCTCTGTACGCCTCAGTTCCCTCATCTACAAAACTGGAAGTATAATCTTTACTTGTAATTAATAGAGCTATAATTAATCTAACTTAATAATAATCTGTACTCACTGTCTCTACTTCCTCACCCCCAGTTCTCTTTTCTTTCTTTTCTTTTAACGGAGGTATAGTTGGCTTACAATATTCTATAAGTTTCAACATAGCGATTCACAATTTTTAAAGGTTATACTCCATTATAGTTATTATAAAATAATGGCTGTATTCCAATATCTGTGCTGTACAACAGATCCTTGTGGCTTATTTATTTTATTCATAGTAGTTTGTACCTCTTAATCTCCTTTCTTTTTCCACCCACCTTCCCTCTCCCCACTGGTAACCACTGGTCTGTTCTCTATAATCTGTGAGTCTGTTACTTTTTTTATTATATTCACTCATTTGTTGTATTTTTTAGATTCCACATATAAGTGATATCATACAGTATTTGTCTTTCGCTGTCTGACTTCTTTCACTAAGCATAATACCCTCCAAATCCATCCATGTTGCTGCAAATGGTGAAATTTCATTCTTTTTGATGGCTGAGGAGTACTCCATTGTATATATACCCCCCCCGCATTGTATATATACCCCCCCCGCATTGTATATATACCCCCCCTGCATTGTATATATACCCCCCACACACATTGTATATATCCCCCCCCCCCCCGCATTGTATATATACCTCTCTTGAGAACATTTCAGTCTGGCTTTTGTCCCCACGTTCCTGAAACCCCTCTTGGCCAGCTCACTAATACCTCCTTGTCACCAAATCCAGTGGTTATCTCTCAAGCTCTATCTCTGACACAGCCAATCACTCCCTCCTTTTTTCACTTGGATTTTAGGACATTACCCATTCCTGGTTCTCCTCCTATGACACTGGCCACTCCTCCTTTCCTTGGCTGGCAACTCATCTTTGCGACATTTACTTGTCAAAGGGCACTGGGACTCATTCTTTGGCCTCTTCTCTTCCATGTTTGTCCCTGGGCAATCTCCAGTCCCAGGGCTTTGGATCAAGTGGACACAAAGATGGATCCTATCATTCTGTCTCCAGTACCGACCTCTCCCCTGAGGGTCCATTCACAAACCTGTTGCGTCTTTGGCACATACAGATGCATACCTAACATACCAGACAAGCCTCTTAAAGCGAACCTGCCGCTCTTCATTTTGTCCCAATTCCTCCTGACCCAAATTGCTTCCTCCTTGGGCTTCTCCATTTCCAAACATGATACCAGTTCTTCCAGTGAGATTCCTGAGGGTACCCTGGATCGTTTCATACCCCGCATCCCACATCCAGTCCATCAATAAGTTCTGCTAGGGGTCCTTCAAAATGCATCCTCAGTCTGACCGCTTCTCACCACCCCATCAGTCTTTCGCTCCTGCAGCGGCCCCTAACTTCCCACTTCCAGTCTTGCCCCACAGGGGTGGGTGTGCTTTGCTCACCACACAGCAGCCAGAGTGATCTCTGGAAAAGGGAAATCCATCATGTCGCTCCCCTGTCAAAATGCTCCACTAGCTTCCCGTTGCAACCAGACTGAAACAGGGACCTCCAAGGCCCTATGTGGTCAGACCACGGCCCTTTCTCCCTCTGTCACTCAGCCTCAGCTGAACCAGAGCTGAAGCAATCCCACCACAGGACTTCTGCTTCTGCGGTATCTTCTGCCTGGAATATTCTTTAATGCATATCTTCACCTGCGTTCATTTCATTCAGTTCAAACATCACCACCTCAAAGAGTGGGGGGATCACCTTCCGATGCCCCTCCCTAATTTATTGCCTCTTCCCTCCAGTCACTGAAACCTCTTACCATGCTTAATTTTCTAGAGTGTTCATCCCCTCCTAAACTTCTATGTTATGCATTTTGTTTTACTCATTCATTGTTCAAAACCCTCACTAGAATGTAATCTCAGTGGGGATGGGGACAGGGTCTTGTTCACAACTGCACACACACCCAGTGCCTAAAAAAGGGCTAAGCATATGGAAGGACCTCCAAACCGTGTGAAATGAATGAATTACCTATCTCAGAGGCCTGACGTGAGCATTCAATGCCATGATGCGTGTCAAGCCCTTACTTAGCGGTGCAGCCCGGCACACAGTAGGACCTCAATAAATGTCAGCTCTTCCCCATTACGGATCAAATCTTCTTAGGGTGAGGACGTCCTTAACAATCCCCCAGCAACTACACCCTCCAGACGAGGGCTCTGTAGTCACTCAGAGGTCCTCGGGCAAGGCCCCCGCGCCGCTGGGTGAGCCAGGCCTCCGTTCTGAGGGAGCACAGTGCACCCCTTATCAGATGTTTGTGTTTAGACTCTGAAGGGGGCAAATAACCCTAGTTCCTTTGACAACATTTAGGGCTCTGCCACCATTTTATTATGTGAGCAAACATTTGATAGCTGGGGAGCCCATCCCTAATGACAGGTCATAGAATCTTGCTGGCGTCTCCTTATCTGCTCTTGGTGTTTGCTCTTCTATTGAAACCTGCAAGGTCACAAGCCATTTTCTCTCTCCTCCACCTGAAATCTGAAAATTGGAAAAAGGCTGATAGTGGGGAGTAAAGAAACTCGAGAGTGGGGGTGGGTGGGGGAAAGAAGAGGAGGCAAAGGGTATCAGAGGACCCTGACCAGGGCCTCAAGAATGAAGAAGGGCCAGTAAGCCGTCTCCTCCCACGGACGCACAGCTCAGTCCTGCTCCGAGGAGCTCTGGAGGAGGCACCCCGGGCAGCCCAGTGTTACCAAGGACAGTTACACCAAGCACCGTGCGGAGTACTGCACACAGAGCAGCCCCTCTGATCCCCCAACGACCTTCATCTTATAGGTGGAGAAACCGAGGCTCAGAGAAAGGAGATTGACCAAGAAGAAAGCTAGTAGAAGGCTCCTAACCTCAGCATAATAGAAAGAACGCGGGCTGGGAGGTCTCCCAGAACTGGTTTGAATCCCCACACTCTCCTAGGTCTGAAACCTTGGACAATCCACGGACTCTCTTTGACCTTGTTTTCCTCACCTGTAAAATGGACATAAAGGCAGCCTCATACAAGGCTATGGCTGGGAGCACTGATTAATGAGATAACAGTGGGATAATAGGCCTTTAATAGTAGTGGGAGGTGTGCGTGTATGCGCGCGAGCAATGCACGCGTGTGTGTTGGGTGAGGTCTTGAGAAAATAAGCCACGAAGCCAAAGGGCAGAACCTTCCCCTGAGATGACAACAAAGGGGAAAGAGAAGGAGGAGACAGAGAGAGGAGAAAAGGGACTCCCTGGAAGGCAAGGGCGAGCAGTGGTGTTCCAAGACAGCTGAGATGAGCAAGGCCCAGGGCTCTGGGAGCAGAGGCTGCCTCGGATGGGGGTCTGGCTCCTCTCAAAGGTTCCTCCATGCTGGGTAGGTCTCCTGCCCCGACGCACCGGGAAGCCTGGCATCAGAGGCCTTCAGCCCTTAGATCCTGGTCCTCTGAGCTCTTGTCCTGACGGTAACAAATGTTGTAGAAAGCACTTTGCAATTCCCCATGCTTCTTCCCTGATGGATCGTTTGTGAGTACGTGGTGATTTTCTCATGTGCTTTATGGCCTCGTGGCTCAAAATATATCAGCAGCATCCGCCCAAGCTGGGAGCTGATTAGAAATGCAGGTTCTTAGGCCTACCCCAGGTCCACTGAATCAGAATCTATCAGTACATTTTAACAGGATCTCTGCCACTCACGGGTCCATTACAGTTTGGGAAGGGGTCTAGGGGAACCCCTGCTCTTAGAGGACTTAGGAAGAGATCCTTATTTCCGCCAGAAGCAAGAGCTCCCCATCCAGCTGCCATTGCCACCAAACTGAGCAGTTTATTTATAAACTCACAGGAAGAGGAGCCCAACTTCAGGATAAAGGTCGGCGAGTTATGACTATTTCAAGGTCGGCAGCAATTCACTTCTCTCTTCTGAAGTAGCCAGGGAAGCCGGCACCTAGGTCTTCCTAAAGGGAGCGTGTTTCAGGCTCAGCAGGCACGGGGTCCCCAGGCCTCCAGCCTCAGCTCTTTGCTGACTGAGTTGGGTCTCAGCTCCCCCAGAGAAGCCAGACTAATGGCCCAGGTCCCAGCAGATGTACACAGCTGAGCCGTCTCTCCTCTCTCTCTGCAGTGTCCTCTCCAAGCCTGGTGATGCCCACACATCACTTACTTTGTGCACAGCAACAAGGACCCTATTTTCCACACCATCACCCTCCAGGCAGCTGTCGCGGAAAAGCGCAGTGACCTGACAAGCAGCACCTGCGAGAGGTCCCTGCTCACCTGACGTCCTGCCAGCGCCTCGGACAATCCGCTCTGAGAGGCGCGGCCCAGAGCCCAGCTTCCCTTCTATGCAGTATTGTCACGATGCCTCTCCCAAGACGTCAAGCTCTCCCGTCCGGTCTGTCCTAAAGGCGGGAGATGAGAAACCGAGGAAGAGGAAGAGAGAAAGCCGGAGCATCTACATTATGCTCCTTCATCGAACAAACTGATGTGAAAACTTGAATCTGTTACTGAAGTGAGGCGAGGAGGACACGTGCTATTGAACTGAGCCAAACGCACTGTAAATATCAGCAGCTCCCTCCCCCGCCCCCCTCCCGGCTGATCTGGAAATTTCTTTTAAAGAAGTAAATTTGTCCAATGGGTGTAAACTATAAACTACTGTAATTAAGTGCAATTTCCCCTCTACTTCCTCTCCCCTCTGCCCTGTGTATAATACTAAAGTGTCTATCCGTTTTCTTCGTAAAGGTCAGAGTTGAATTTTCAAAGTGATTTGCCCCCTCTGTCTTCCCCCACGGAGAAATATCTAAGGTGGAAGTGAAGCCCCTGCCCCCTTCCTCGGGCCCGGGCACACACAGGGACTGTGTATTTTGGACTGTCTGCTAGCTCACTCCAATCTCCTGATGTTAAGACACACCTCTGGATCCCTGGAAGGGCTGAGCATAGTGTCAGAGTAACGTCCTCACTTCCGGTGGGGTTGGGGGATCAGCCAGTACCTCCCCAGGAAACCCCAAGACAGGGACACTGGCTGTTTGATAGCACAAGGAAAAGTTGCCCTTTCCGAAAACCTCCCATTAAAACAATTTATTTTGTCACTGCCCAGAGTCTCATATTTCTGTCTGTCTCTGACTCTTCCCCTGCCACGGTTCCTCCAAGAACCCCCAGCCCCTGGTCTCCTTGGAGTTTTCCACTTACTCCACCAGGCTCGCTGCTGCATGCCCCAGTGTCTTCAGGCCGGCTTTACCGCTAAGGTAAGAAAAGGCTGTAACCCCAGTCAGACTCCAATACCTTTGTCTTTCTGCGACTCACAGAAGTAGACATGGAGCCAACTCTTGGTGACTGTTGGTCACAGGAACAGAGAAAAAGTAGGAAAAGTGGAATCCCCGTGGGTAACATTTTCAACCTCCTTTTAAGCGTTAACTCCAGCTCTCTTCCCTTCCGTAGGGCTGTTAGTCAGGAGAATGGCTCTTCCTTCCCAGGCAGGAAGGCGAAAAGCCAAAAGAGGCCTGAACACTCTGCCAGCAGGGACTTTGCCACAGATGATCCAGTGTTGACTCCAGGAAGAAGGAGGCTGGACCTGTCCTCTTTGCCGTCTCCTCTTACGTGCAGCGTAGACCTACCAGCATGTGGTTTCTGGCTTCTAGACAGAGCAGTTCCCAAGCTGGGTGTAAGCAAGGGCATCATGCCAACGAGGCCCCAAGCAACAGGTTTTTCAAAATCTCAGTGTAGTGGAAGACGTAATTCTTAGTGAGCCGGGCAAATGTGCTGAGTGCCCAGGGCAGGGATGGGTAGGTTTGGAAACGCTGACCTCCTTTGGCTCCTGGCTCCCCCAGACAACGTAATTTGGGCTAAAGTGGTCAAGAGAAAATTCATGGTTGGGTTGAAAAGGACTGGGGCCAAGGCCGAGCACCATGTATCAAGAGAGGCCAAGATCGGCTGTCTCTGGTTGAGATGTCCTGTTGGTTGGCTCCTGTGAGTTCCAGGAAGAGGAAGGGAATGTAGGTCTCGAGCTCAGGCCTCAACTGAAGCCCTGTGTTTGGACTCACGTTGTTTCTGGGACAGCCAGTATCTGCATTTGATAGATTTTAGGTCTTGTGTTATTGCCATAACCCTGAGAATCCAGAAGGTCTTAACCATCCAAGAGGCCATCTGGGAGTTGGGGGGTGGGCAGGTAGGGGGAAATCTCTAGGGAGTCTTCTTTACCAAACCCTACGTGATCCAAGACTTGTAGAAGGTGACCCTGACAGCTGAGAACACCTCCCTTCTAAATCAAATCTCCCTTCCCACTGGCCCTAAGAGGGGCAAGGAGGCTCACTGTGTGTGCCTTCAGGTGGGCATTACCCACTCTGAAGCTTCATTTGCAACTAAAACCTCCCCATACCTTCCTCCAGCATGTTATGGACCAACATTTCCGGGGTCTCTCTTTACACCCTGAGCCTAGGCTAACAGACAGATGGTTCTGTTTTTACCATGATCTGCCTCCGTCTTCTAGGGTGAGATCTGAGGAAGGCAGATTTCATTTTCACACCCGTGGATAAGAAATGAAATCAGTAATGAAAACCTGCCCTAAAATGGATTGACTTGTCCATGCCAAACAGTGGATCATCTCCCCTCAAAGGCAGAAATAACTGGAGTGTTAGCTACTGGATTCAGGTGGATAAGAACACAGTGTAGACAGCCAGGGAACTGAGCTTTTGGGTTGGGGGCAGGTCTTTTTTTTTTTTCTTTTGCGGTACGCGGGCCTCTCACTGTTGTGGCCTCTCCCGTTGCAGAGCACAGGCTCCGGACGCGCAGGCTCAGTGGCCATGGCTCACGGGCCCAGCCGCTCCGCGGTATGTGGGATCTTCCCGGACCGGAGCACGAACCCGTGTCCCCTGCATCGGCAGGCGGACTCTCAACCACTGCGCCACCAGGGAAGCCCCGGGGGGCAGGTCTTTGATATTCATTTTGGAGCCAGAATGCCTTGGTTAGAATCTCCAACTTCACCACTGAACCCCGTGCTCATTGTCTGCCTACATAACATTGGGTGATAGTAGTACCTACTGTACACAGTTGTTGAGTGATTGAGTTCATATATGTTAAACGCTTAGACGTGGGCCTGGTACGTTGTGAGAGCATGTGCGTTAGCATCCTCTCATCCCAGAGTGCCTCCTCATGCAGTCTTCTGGACTTGGTTGATCTTTCCAGACACCCTCATCACCAGTGTGACGCTTGGTAAAGAAAACTGCCAATCGCTGGTGAAATGATTTTGCTCATGTCTATGGTATATGACCAATCAAGCAGTGAACCGAGGATGAGTCAGGGAGGAGAGATCTGAGGAGAACGGAAAGGCTTGACTGGGGAGTCTGTGTCCTTAGGGAAAGAAGAAGGTAAAATGTGGTGATGGGGCTTCCCTGGTGGCGCAGTGGTTGAGAGTCCACCTGCCGATGCAGGGGACACGGGTTCGTGCCCGGGTCCGGGAGGATCCCACATGCCGCGGAGCGGCTGGGCCCGTGAGCCATGGCCGCTGAGCCTGCGTGTCCGGAGCCTGTGCTCCGCAACGGGAGAGGCCACAACAGTGAGAGGCCCGCGTACCGCAAAAAAAAAAAAAAAAATGTGGTGATGAGTGGGAGGACCACAGAGAGCCAGGTGGCTGGGACTAAAGGTGGCTTCATGTCCCTAAAGGTTGGGGAGGGGGCGGTCATGGAGGAGGAATACAGAGAGCAAGGAAGGGGGTGGGTCAGGAAGAGGCAGGAGTGAACTTCTTCCCAAGCACAATCAGAGCTGATGCGTCCCCTTTGAATGAGGAAGTAATTCAAATAAATGCCATTGAAATCTGTTCTGGAAAATAAGCGATTGCCAGTAATGGACCACATAGTGGCATATAACAAATCCATGTTTTTGAATACTTTAAACACATCCCAGTTGTATCAAACAGACTGAATATTCACGAGAAGTTGCAATCAGCTAAACCAAATGCCTGTAAAGCCCCTCCCTGTCTCCCTCCCTCCCTTTCTTTCCCTGTCTCTGTCTCTCTTTCGTACAGAGGTCATTCCAGCTGGGCAAATACTAGATTGTCAGCCAAGATTTATAACATGACAGTATTTTATAAATGAATCTTTGGGGCATGCAGGGCTTCTCACACACCTGGATGACCATTTTTTTCCTGGTGTATATAAAATGGTATCTGCATGTATATAGAGGAAATACTTTCTAAGGAAGAATGAGCAGAACAAACATGAGGGGAGACAACATCAAAAGCAGGAATCCTCAGAGCAGGTTTCATGCAGTCTGCATATGTATAAATATGTTTATTCCAACAGATCACCCGAAATTTCTTCTCCATTTCCACACATTTAATTTTCTCAATAGATACACACTGTTATAGTCCCCAAAGGCAGGTTTCCTTCCTGTGGCCAACTGTCCAGACATCCTTAGTAAACCAATTATATTAAATGATTCCCAATTAATTATGAAAGAGATAAAAAGATAAAGCTAGTATTTTTTTTTTTTTTTTTTTTTTTGGCTTCGCTGCATGGCATGCAAGATCTGAATTCCCTGACCAGGGATTGAACCCGTGCCCCCTGCAGTGGAAGCGTGGAGTCTTAACGACTGGACTGCCAGGGAAGTCCAAAGCTAGTTTTCAAAAGACAAAAAAATAAAAATAAAAAATCGCACTCTAAGGAAAGCATGCCTGATTTCCTGAGCCAAAAGGCCTTAGCCTTCTGTATATCCCTTTGCTTTTGGAAATATCATCTAGTCCAAAATAATATTTCCCATTTATTTATTCAAGAAATACTGACACCTACTGTGTGCCAGGCACCATGGTTCTAGACACTGAAGATACATCAGTGAATCAAATAGACAAAAATCCTTGCCCTCGTGAGCTTTACATTCTGGTTAAAGAGATGGGTAGTAAATGTGTGAGTGTGTGTATGTGCGTGTCAGATGATTTTTTTAAATCTATGAAAAATTCGGCAGGGAGGCTCGAGTAGCTATAGAGCTGAGTGAGCGGGAGTGTGGGAGTCAGGGTGTGAGCAGAGTGCGGGGAGGTGATGACAGATGACAAGGACCTTGTCACCATTGTAAGGACTGCTATAAGCTACTGGAAGGACTTTTTATTCTGAGGGAGCTAGAGGCCATCAGAAAGTTGTGAGCAGAGCAGGGGCAAGATCTGGCTTACGCTTTAACAGAATCCCTCTAACTGCTGAGTTGTAGGGAGGCGTCAAAAGTGACGGCAAAGAGACCATCAGGAAGCGATGCATCATCAGAGCCTGAGACCAGGGGGTGGGGGTGGAGGTGACGAGAGGCTGTCTGATCGTGGATGTGGTTTTAAAGGGAGAGGATTTGAAGGCACGAGGGTTTTCTGATAGTTTAGATGTGGCATCAAAGAGGATTCCAAGGTCTGAGGCCTGGACAAATCAGGAAATAGAAATTGATGTTATAGAAAATGGAAAACAATATTACCTGGGCAAAGACTCTTATCTCAGGCATCTTGTAAAGTGGTACTTTAGGAAGCATCTGGGTAGTATGTCATGCTGTGATGTCTGCTGTTATCATGTCCCTGATATGATGTCAGGACTCTCCAGGTGGCAGTAACCTGACATTTGATCATTCATCCAACAAGTGTTTATTGAGTGCTTACTATGTGCTACATACACTTCTAGGTATGGAAAGAAAAGCAGTTTAAAAAATGTTACTCTTCCCATGGAGTTTACATTCAACTGGGAGGGAGCCAACAGTAACGAAATAAACAAATATACAGTATGCCGGGTATTGATTGACAGGCAATGGAAAGAAACACAAAGCCAAGAGAGGGGATGGGAGCTGGGAAGGAGGTGGATTCATTTTTGTAGGGGGATCCCCTTGCTTTCCAAGGTGGGATTTCTTGGGGGCATCCTGACTAAAAAGAGAATGCATTTCTTTTTTTTTTTAAATTGAAGTATAGTTGACTTACAATGTTGTGTTAATTTCTACTGTACAGCAAAGTGATTCAGCTATACTTATATATACATTCTTTTTTTGTATTCTTTTCCATTACGACTTATCATCAGATACTGAGTATAGTTCTCTGTGCTATACAGTAGGGCCTTGTTGTTCATCCATTCTATATATAAAAGC